TAATAAAAGGAAGACATTGATTAGAATAGATACCGCCGATAATGGTAGCAACACAATACTGGCAGTTGATCCTGATATTATAATGAACAAAATCGAATATTATAGGGATTTGTATAGAAAGAAAGTATGGAATTAAGAAAGGAAGAAAAAGGGAGGGGCAAAGCAAAGCAAAAAATGAAAAGAAAAATTTAATTAATTAAAAAAGAAGAAAAAAGGAAAGTGAAAACAATAACCTCGACCAAAAGAAAGCCGATGCTTAACTGTAAAACTCACCCAAAAAATTAGCAGGGTTGTTATTCTTTTTCTCACGCTTCTTCTTCTTCTGTTCTGTTTGCTTGCAAGGACCTGGCAAAAACGGGTGATTTCTACGTTGAGAACTGTGCTACGACAGCTGCTAAAAATAAATCTCAAATAGATATCTTGGACTGACAATGACCCAATCTATCCTAATTTCCGTACAACGATATCAACTTATATCCACTACTTCTTGCATTTCATGTGAGCAATATGTGTGGTTGATACAAAACATCTATAAATAAAAAATGTTTACCCTAATGGACTGATTTGTCATATTTTTTGTGGCGTATGTTTAAATCATTGAATATTTTTAATAACACTCACAGTATTTGGTGACTGTAACATTGTGCCAAGCGATTCCATATCTGTTCTTAGCCAGACAGCTATATATACCAAAGTCCAAAGTATTGAGTTTTAATAATCTYAACGTGCTCGTTCCWGGATAATATGAGGTTCCATTCACATGGATCTTGCCATTCAATCCGTACCACGTAACATTTGGTACAGGTACACCTCTTGCGACACAGCGTAGGTAGATTGTATCACCAGACCATGAAATGTTGTGTTTGCTTGAAAGYATTTCATCTATTTCTGGTTTGTCTAAATATTAWAAAAGTATATTGTTTTGTCTTTTATGCCTTACGCGCTCGTCTAAAATTAATTCTAAACTAAATAAACTTTGTTGTGTTTTTTTTTTTCATTTGCAAAGCATTCCCGTCTACCTTCACTATATAATCCTGCATAAAGAGGATGTAAAAGAACCCACTGAAGACGCTGATGTGGTGACCATCCTCAGTGCCGTTCATACACTGCAGTAGCCATACCTTTGTATCAGAGCGAGACGGACGGTGAGCTTGCAATGATAGAGACGTGAATAATATTGTCCAAAGAAGATGACATATAAAAACATCAGTGTCTAAACCTGCAAASTTTGCGTTTGTACTTACACATTACTTTAATAAAAACATTCGCTAATCCCAAAATACCATCTCTCTTGTCATAAGCCTGGCACTGGTACTTTCCTTGTTGACGTCGAGAAATATT